CGCTGCCCGGCACTGACATTATTTCCGCGCCATGGGGCCCCCCCCCCCCCCCCCCCCCCCCCCCCCCCCCCCCCCCCCCCCGCGCGCGCGGGAGGTGGGCAGAGCGGGCCCGTGCGGCTGGCTGCCATCGTCCCATGTGCCACTGACGCGTTTGTGTGCCCGGCCATGCGCGCCACCCCTGGGCGGTTCCCACCTCGGTCCTCGGCGCGCCCGGGGCTGGCCCGCAGTTTGAGCGCCCGCAAGATGTCATCCGGCTCTTCCTGCTGGACACCTCCGGCGGGGTGAACTTCACCGGCGCCCCGGGCGAGGGGTCGGCCCCGCTGGCGACCGTCGCCTCGTGGGACCGGTCGGCATCGCCGTCGTCCTTCCATGCCCGGCGCCCGGGCGAGCCCTTCCCCCTGCCGCAGCCGTCGCCCAGGTCGAACTTCACCGCGCCGCGGTCCCGGTCCAGTGCGTGTCCCGACGGGGCGCTTTGCTTTTCTCTCTCTCTCTCTCTCTTGCTCGGGGGGCGGGGCGGGGCGAGGCCGGGAGTGGGGGGCCCTTCGCTCGGGGGCTCCCCCTTTCCCGCGGTGGCGGTTGCCCTGCCCGGTCGGGCTTTCCGCCGGGCCGGGGCTGCTCCCGCCGCGCATCCCCCACCCCCCGCGGTCTTCCTGGTTCCTCTGCCGGCGCGCGGCCGTGCGCCCATGACTGACCCTCCTGCCATCGGGTCGTGTACCGGACCGCAGCCAAGATGAACTGGCTTCGCGGGCCGCAGATCGGGTCCGGCGCCTGCGCCCAGGTGTTCCTCGGGCTGAACGTCAACAGCGGCCAGCTGATGGCCGTCAAGCAGATTGAGATCCCCCAGTCGACGGCGGCGGCGGCGGCCGCGGCCGCGGCGGCCGCCAGTTCCGGCAGCCAGGTCACCCGCGGCGGGCACATCCGCATGGCCAGCGCCGGGCCGGTGAGCATGGGCGCCGATGCCCATGCGGCCGGGGCCGGGCCCGACTCGGCCGGCGGCCGGCATGTCCTATCACCCGGGTCCCTGGGCGGCGGCGGCGGCGGCGGGCCCGGGCCCGGGGCCGGGTCCCTGTCGCGGGAGTTCGGCGTCCCCGGGCCCGGGCCCGGCAGCAGCAGCGTCGGCCTCGGGGGCAGCACCGGCCCGGTGGCGGGCAAGCAGCATGCGCCGGGGCACGGCGGCGGCCAGCGGCTCGGCTTCGGCACTCGCCTGCAGACCCTCCTCCGGGAGACGGAGCTCCTGCGGCAATTGAGCCACCCGCACATCATCTCCCTCTATGGGATTGATTATGACTCCACCTGCACCAGCGTCTTCCTGGAGTATGCCCCCGGGGGGTCGATCCAGTCGCTGCTCCGGCAGTTTGGGCCCTTTGACGAGCGGCTGGTCCGGCTGTTTGCGGCGCAGCTGCTCGACGCGCTGGCCTACCTGCACGACTTGGGCATCGTCCACCGGGACATCAAGGGGGCCAATGTGCTGGTGGATTCCAACCGCGGGTGGGTCAAGCTGGCGGACTTCGGCATGGCGGCATACTACTCGGCGGCCGGGGCGGGCCTGGGCGGGGCCGTCGGGGCCGTTGGGGCCAATGGCCCGGACCCGGGGGCGGGGTCCGGCCCCGGGGGCGGGTCGCCGGCCAGCGGCGGGTCCAGCCCCCGGGCCCCGGGCCCGGGGCCCGGGGCCATGGGCAGCCTTTCGCAAAGGTGGCAAGCCATGCAAACCTCGGGCACCCTGTTCGAGATGGTGGGCACCCCGCACTGGATGGCGCCGGAGGTGGTCCGGCAGCACATGTACGGCCCGCCGGCCGATGTGTGGTCCTTCGGGGCCACGGTCATCGAGATGCTGACCGGCAGGCCGCCCTGGTCGCACTTCTCCCACGATGTGGCGGTCCTCTTCCAGATTGCCTCGTGCCAGGAGACGCCGCAATTGCCGGCCGGCTTGTCGGAGCCGGGCCGGGACTTCCTGGCGGCGTGCTTCCGCATCGACGCCACCGAGCGGCCGGCCTGTCGGGACTTGCAAACGCGCGCCTGGCTGTCGGGCAAGTTCCTGCCGGCGGCCGGCGCGGGGGCCGGCAGGGCCGTGCCAGCCGCCGCTGCCGCCGCCGCCGCCGCCGCCGCCACTGCCGTGCCCGCCGTGGGCCCGGGCGGCGAGGCGTCCCTGCTCCAGGCCTTGGCGGCGCGGGCTGCCTCGCGGCCGGGGTCGCCGGTGTCCGGCGGCCCGGGGGATTCGCTGTTGCGGCCGGGGTCGCCCACGGGCCCGGGCGTGCGGGCCGGATCGCCGGTGTCCGGCGGGGCGTATGCCCTGGGCTCCGGGGCCATGCCGGCCTCGGTGGCCAGCTCGGCCGGCAGCATTTCCCCCTACCAGCCTTCGCCCTCGAGCCCGCTGCGCACGGACAGCACGCTGGATGTGTCCGGCGGCCGGGGCCCCACCGCCACGACCCCGGCCACCACGACCACCTCCTCCTCCTCCTCCTCCTCCTCTTCCTCCTCCTCCTCCCTATACGGGGAGGGGGGCCTGCATGCTGGCGGGCCCGATGGCGTGGATGAGGCCGTCGGGGGGGACGACCGGCGCGGTGTGCGCGGGCCCCTGGCCCCGCGCGCGGCGCACTCGCTCCCCGGCCGGCCGGGGTCCCCGCCGTCCCTGGCCCCGGCCGACGGGCGCTTCCACTATGGGACCATCGCCGGGAGTGGGGACCTCCGGCGCTTGGCCGCCGTCGCGGCCGGCCACCACTTGCCCTTCCCGCCGGGGCAGTTTGCCAATCACGGCCGGCCGGCTGGGGCCTCCGGCCCCGGGCCCGGGTCCGGCTCCAGCTCCGGCGGGTCGTCCCCCCGGCCGGGCAGCCCCTTCCCCGGGGCCGGCAGCCCGCGCCCCGGCGGGTCGGTCTTCTTCCCGGCCGACGCGCCGCTGGACCCGGCCAGCCGGGCCCGGTCGAGCCTGGCGCTGAGCTCGTCCCCGCGAACTAGCGGCGGCGGCGGCGGCGGCGGCGGCCGGGGCACCCCCCCGGGCGCGTCGCCCGGGCCCACCTCCCTGCGGGCCCTCTCGCCCGGGGGGTCGGTCATGTCCAGCAGCAGCGGCAGCGGCAGCAGCAGCACCAGCAGCAGCAGCAGCCCGTCCCTGCCGAAGTCCGCCTCCACGCCGGACTCCCTGCGCCTGGTGGCTGAGCATGGGCTGGCCGGGCGGGCGGGCAGCCCGGGTCCCGGTGGGGCCGGTGCGCTGGCGTCCCGCCGGGCGGGCAGCGTGGCGCTGCTCCCGACCCCGGCGGCTCCGTCCGGCACCGGCGGCGGTCTGTCTGCCTGGCTGAGCCCGAACCACTCGTCCCCCTCGCCGGCGGGCAGTCCATCGCCGGGCCTCGTCCCTGTGGTCTCCTCGGATTCGAGGTGCGTATGTTTGTGTGCCTGCTTTTGTCGGGGTGTGCCGGTGTGTCTGTATCCCTGCCTATGCCCGTGTGCCTGTGCCCGTGTACACGCACACGTCCTCGGCGCCTTTGTCCCTTGTGTCGGGGCGGGTGTGCCGGACCCCGGCCTCCCTCCCTCCGATCGTGCGATCCCGCGTGAGACTCACCCCGGGCCGCCGCCCCCCCCCCTCCCCTGCACTCGTCCCCGCACCTTCCGGACATGGCCACAGCCGGCGCGGGTCGCTGGACGCGCCGACCCTTGTCGGACTGGAGGGCGCCGGGTCACGCCCTCCCTCCAACCTGCTGACCCGGCGCATCCGAAACCTCCCGCCGCGCGGTGGCGGCCCCGCCGGGCCGGCCGACGAGGTGCCCACCCCGAGCCCGCCGGTGGCGGGGGCCGGCTGGCCCGGGCCGGCGGCCGATGCCACCGCGCCCGGGGCGCCGGGGCTGGTGAAGGCCAAGTCGGCGGCCGGGTCGCCGGCCGACCTGTCGGCCCTCGGGCCGGCCGGCGGCCGGGTCGCCGCCGGGGGGGCCGTCCCCCGGCGCCCGGGGCACCCGCATCCCGGCCAGCCGGCCGCGGGCATTTACGCCTGGGCCGGTCGCCTGCCCGGCCGGGCGGCCGACTCGCTGCCCTCCTTCGACCACCTGGCCGAGATGGCCGGCCTGCCCGGGCCCGGGGCTTCGCACCCTGGCACGCCGATGACGCCGCCGGATTCGACGCGCGGCGCGGCGTCCCACTTCCCCGGCGACGACCCGGCCACCCAGCCGCCGGTGGACATCGCCGACCGCGATGTGTGAGTTGTGCGCTCCTGCGCCCGGGGACGGCCCCTGCGCCCTCCTCTCAGTTTTGGCTCCCGGACATGCGCCGGCGGCGGGCGAGGGCCTGGGGGGGGGGGGGGGGGGCCTGCCGTGCGTTCGCCACTGTCCGGTCCCCTCGCCGCCCCCGGTCCCCCCGTCGCCCCCGGCCTCTCCCGCCCCCCTGTCCCTTTTGGCGGCTGGCCACGCGGCCAGCCATGGCCCTCTCGGCCCCCTTTTGTACATTACCCCCTTGCCTCTCCCCCTCTCTCTCCCCCCCCCCCCCCACCTCCAACTATACCATGCCTTTGTGTTTGCCTTTTGTTGCGTGCGCGCCGCCGTCATGTGATGCGCCGCCACACGGCCCCCGCCCGGGCATACTCACCTGGTCACACCTGGGGACGCTGGCGCGGGCCAGCACCGCGGCAAGAATGCGCCGTGTATGCGGCCGCGCCGGGTGGCAGAACGCGCGGAGAATGCGCCTCGGCCTGGCGGCGGTGCATTCCCCGGTGCCGGCGCGTCGCGGCCGGCCGGCCGGGAGAGGGGCAGGGCGACGTCGCGGCACCCTGCCCCGGCGGATGGCGCCCACGTACGCCCGGCTGTTGTGCGTGTGCGCCTTGCCGTGGTGGTGCTCATGCGTGGGGGAGAGCGGGGGTGCGCCCGTGTGACGATGCCCCGGCCGCGGCCTGTCTCCCCTGCCCCCCGCCCCCCGCCCCCTCGCGGCGGCCCCTGGCGCTGGGGCATTCTCGTCCATCTGGCCCCCGCCGCCCTTCTCGCGCCTCCGCCCCCTCGGTCCCCAGTGGGGGGAGGGGGGGATGTTGTGCATGCGCGCGTGACGGCTGACGCGCAGCCCCGCACATCGGCACACAACAGCACCTGCCCCCGGGGGTGGGGCGTGTGCCTCCTCGGGCGGCCCATAACCCTTGGCGCGGAGCCGGTGGGCCGCCAGCAAACACCGGTACCCGGCGGACTGTGTGCGTGGGGGGGGGGCAGGGGGGGGGGGGCACACCCGGCTCTCCCGTCCACCGACGTGCTCCGCATCATTTGCCGGGCCGGGGTGCCGGCGTGTCGAGGCCAAACGGCCGGCGTGGCTTTTTGCGTCCAGCCACTTGGCCCGGGGGCCCCTGGGCCACAGGTGCCTTGTGCCTCGCCCCCCCCCCGCTCCCCCACCTCCACGGAGGCGTGTGCCCCGGGGCGGTGACGGCGGCGCGGTGCTCGGTGAAAGCCACGCGCGCCGGTGAGCCCGAGCCCGAAACAGCGAGAGCCTCGAAAGGAACGGCAGCGCAGGGGGACGCGGGCCGGGACGGAGCCGACAGG